GTGTGCAACTTTTCGTGTCCAAATGAGCGGTGTGTAACTTTTCGTGTCTAAATGAGCGGTGTGCAATATTTCGTGTCCAAATGAGCAGTGTGCAACTTTTCGTATCCAAATGAGCGGTGTGTAACTTTTCGTGTCTAAATGAGCGGTGTGCAACTTTTCGTGTCCAAATGAGCGGTGCGCAATTTTCGGTGTCCAAATTAGCTGTGTGCAACTTTTCGTATCCAAATGAACGGTATGCAACTTTTCGTGTCTAAATGAGCGGTGTGCAACTTTTCGTGTCCAAATGACCAGCGTGCAACTTTCAGTGTCCAAATGAGCGATCCGCATTTTTCTCGTTTCCAAATGCACTGTGCCCAAATTCATCGTGTCCAATTGCACCGTATCCAATTAAACCGTGGGCAAAATTTCGTGTCTAATTACAACGTGTCCATTTGCTCCATATCCAACTGTACCGTGTCCAAGTACACCGCTCCCAAATGAAAGTACGTTAGCACGACCAGGATCTATACAATCAGGAACGCAACATATTAAATACTGGAGTATAAGAAACTCAGGTATCACAAAGTAAGTACGTCTAAATGTTAGTTAAATCAGATCATCACATACATTACATATTTTGACCGATTTTCTTACACCGTGTTGTACTATTTCTCTTAATTCATGATCGTGGCTGCAGGAAATTGCCATGGAAAAATATGTACAATAATAAATATATCATTTAATTAAATTGTATGACAATATTATAAGATAAAATTACGATATTTTATATAATTTGCATAGTATGAATAAAATTAATTTTGTAATAATTTATAAAAACAAATACGACCGCAACTCGCGAACTCTTCTACTCAAACGCACACTTTATCTTCACTTTGTCGATCATGCAATAAACTAAAAGATACGAAGGAATGATATTTATCTCTCATTACTTAGACTCTGAACTCAAATATCTTATTCAAATCTGAGTAATATTGTGAAAGTCTGATTTGTGAGTGCGCGCGCGGACACCTAGATGGCGTGTGATTCTTACTCAATCGTCGTAACCGTGGGCTTTGGCCGAGACTCGTGGCCTTTCTTCCGCAGTCCATCTTGGAGAGTACACGTATTCGCGGAGGTGTCCCGATCGTGTCACAAGCAGCGGAATTCTATGGTCTGTTTTTTTCAGCTACACTGTTTCACTGGTGCAATAAGTTAGAATGAGACATACATATTTTATTTCACTTTAGCTTATTGCACCAGTGTAC